TCCGCCAGGTACCATTCGGCTTTTTTACAAGCACAACATTCGCAACCCAGTCGGGTAAATTACATAGCCGAATGAACCCAGCATCCAACAGCTTTTTTACTTCGGCAGCTGTCGTCTGACTTCTTTCCTCGCCGTGATTTCTTTTCTTTTGCCGGATGGGCTTCTTTTTAGGATCCACGGCGAGTTTGTGGACAGCAAGATCCGGGCTGACGCCTGGCATCTCTTCCACTTCAAAGGCAAAAATGTCTTTGAATTCTTTCAGCAGAAGGTGCAAGTCTGCACCTAACTTAGCAAAGGCAACCGTCCCAACCTTCACAGTACGCTCCGGACGACTGTCGTCCAGAGGTATGTCAATATGCTCACCAGCCGGTTGGGGACGGAGCTCCTCTGACCGTTCACCGGTCAGTGATTGCTATTTTTACTCCTTCTTTACCTCCACCAGCGTAGGTGCCTTTCTTTTCTTTCCGGCTGCTGGTGGGGCAAGCGCTGGCTCAGCATCCTTGACATTGTCAAGGTCTATTGGTTCCTGGACGCCTGGGGTTACAGTGTCTCTGACGGCTGAGAGATAGCACTCTCGGGCCGTCTTCTGATCCCCATTCGGGGAACCAACAGTGCCGTCATCCCTCTCATACTTGATGAGCATGAGAGAAGGGATGATTACTGCCTTGGCTACGTTGAGGGTTGGCCTGCCAAGGATAATGTTGTAGGCGGTCAACTCCTCAACGACCAAGAATCTGACGACAATATGTCGTCCTTGGCCCTTCTCTCCCAGCCGGATGGGTAAGTCAATTCTTTCGGCTGGGTGGACCATCCCACCCCCAAAACCAACCAAGGGGTGGGTGACCGGATGCATGCTGCTGATATTGTATTTCAGCTTTTGCAAGCACCGGAGGCTGATGATGTCTGATGAACTGCCGGTGTCAATAAGGATTCTTCCAACCAGTTGGTTGGCAACCTTACATTCAATGACGACCGGGTCATCATGCGGACGGCGGACGCTGCCCCTGTCCTTCTCAGTGATCAAGACGTCTGGGAAGGAGGTACTTGCAGTCGTCTGCTCATCATCATCCTTGTCCATCTTTCGAAGATGGCTCTTGGTGCCCCGGATGGTAGGGCCACCGCATGAGAACCCGCCTGCTATTGTGTAGACTGGCTCCTTGTCGGTATCCGAGCTACTAGCAGGCTGGGGGGTAGTCTTGGAGGACTGACCCTTATTCTTCTTCTTAGCCCCGGCTGGGGACTTAGAAATATAGGACTTCAGCATCCCCTTGTCAGCCAGACGGTCCAACGTCCGTTGAAGGCTGAAGCAGTCGTTGGTGTCATGGCCAACTTCCTCATGGTATTGACAAAATTTATTTTTGTTCCTTGATTGAATGGAACTTTTCATTGGATTCGGCTTCTCTAGGGACAGCCGGTCCTTAATCTCATGAGGATGGAGTTGCAGTCCTTGTTAAACTCGTAATTTGGGACGTACGGTTTAAATTCTTTCTTCTTCTTCTGGGACGGCTGGTCAGAGTCACTTACCGCCCAGATTTCTTTTCTTTTCTTGCTCTCTTCTTTCTTTTTAGCCGGCTGAGAAGGCCGGTTGTCTTTCTGCTTGTCAGAATTCTTAGAGTCCGACTGGCTACCAGGCGAGCAGAGGTCGGTAGCTTGAATGTAGCTTTCCGCCTCCCTCAGGGCCGCCTGCAGGGTGAAAGCCCCTTTTCTGACTAGGTCGAACTTAAAGGTCGACCCGTCTCTCAGACCTTTGAAAAAGTCTGTAAAAGCTACCTCATCAGACAGTCCCTGAATCTGAATTCTGATCAGATTGAACCGCCTGACATATGAGCGCAGCCCTTCTCTCTCTCCCTGCTTAACAGTACTCAAATCAAGGCTTGTTTTCTTAGAAGGGATGTTCATTGAGAAGTTGGAAGCAAACAGGAAGGCAAGATTCCTGAAACTATCGATGGACCCGGCTGGCAGATTACCAAACCATTGTTGGGCAATGCCCTTCAATGTAGCCGGGAAGCATCGACACCAAGTGGCATCATCCAACCCCTGCAAATACATGAGGTTGGTGTAAGCCATGAGGTGGTCTTCCGGATTGGTGGTACCATCATAGGTACCAACCAACACATTCTTAACCTTGGCCGGCTGGGCCGCCTCGGTTATCTCCCGGGTGAACGCGGAAGACTGTTCACCCAGGCGCAGCAGACGAAGCTTCCAGTCCAATGGCTGGACATTTGGATATGTCGCCTGACCCCCAAAGAAGGCCGGCTGCATGAAGTGAGGGGGATATTGTCCGTAAGCCTGAGTAGGCACATACGGTACAACTCCAATCATGTGAGGGCCGGAATGGACGGTATTACCGCCTGTCTGACTCTCATGCAAGGAGGGTGCACTCCCTGCAGAAATGTTGTTGAAGCTGTCTGGAAAGTTCGACGTTGAAGCCGACTCAGACAGCGATTGGTTTCTCTTCCGGTTGATGATCTCCCGGGCATCAAGAGTTGATTTTTTGCTTCCCACCGGCTGTTGAGTCCGGCGGGTGTTGTTGTTGTTCCTCTTAGGAAGGAAATTTTTTTACCAATCAATGGTCCCGACTGCCTTCTCCTTTGGATGAGGAGTGGGCTGCCGGTCTCTGACTGACTTCCCCTTCTTGGAAAACTCTTCTTCGCCGATTGACCTTTACTTAGGCCAGCCCGGCTTTTGGTGATCAGCTCTTTAATTTCACCCTTGAAACTTGTCATGAATCTCATGAGTTCGTCTCGAGTGACAGGGGCTGATCCAGCGGTCGTTTGGGTTTCCCCTTCCGGCAGAGTGTCTCTAGGCCGGATGCGCTTGGTTCTGATAGAGCCATCTTCGGCTGTAAAGGTTTCAACCTGAAGATCTTCATCCTCATGGTCTGTAAAGACTTCTGGGTCTTCGCCCAGACGGTTAGGAGGTGGTACAGACTCTAGAACCATCTTCGAGGTACTCTCCCCACAGACGGCTCCAAATGTTTTGGGGTGTTTTTTGTCCTTTGGGAGAGTTACGTCACGAAGTCTGATCCGGCTGAGCTGTACCTACAAAATAACGGAGACTCCGGGTGGTCGGAGCTCCGCCTCCGACGGTCAAGTTAGTAACTTGAAACGGAATAAAGAGAACGGAAATTTAGGTGGGTATCTGCTCGGATTCCAAGCTCAGGTCTTTCTCTGATGTAAGAGAATAAGGGTGTAATAAATGATTGAATGTGTCCTCAAAATGGGGAAATATCTCCCTATTTATAGGGTCGTTGGAGAATGTGCCCCTACCTAGGTCACTTGACCTAGATTTTAGTGGGCTGCGCCGTTTTATGGCGCTCCTAGGAATTTTGGCCCTTGAAGGCCGCCATTTCAAAGGCATATCTGAGGGCGCCAAGTGTCAAGAGGATGTTGAGCCACATGGGTCATCTTGAGCTCGACACATGGCGGCCTCTCATTGGTCCACGTTTCTAGGGTAAAAATACCCTAAACAGGTACTGTACAGTTACTAACTGTACCACGGGGTTACAGTGTAGAATTTCTCAAAAGGGTGGGCACACCTTAGAAAACCCAATACCACAGGATTACTATGTAGAAAAACCCAAAAAGAAAATATTAGGGATAAAGTAATATTAATTACACCAATTTACGCGTGATTTTGTCATGAATTCCCAACTTGATTTTATTTTAGGAAGTATATTAAATGCTTATATATAGCCCTAAGGTAAGGGCTACATATATCATTACCCTATATTAAAAGACAATCCTAATAACGTCCATGTGTCAATGATCAAATTAAAATGTTATTATATGCTAAATTAAATATGCTCAATGATCAAATTATGTTCATTAATTTCCTCCATTTGCTCAATTTCAGTACAATTAAAATCTGTTTAATAACCAAAAATGAGATTATGTTCATTAATTACCTCAGTTTGCTTTTTGCTAATCATGATCAATTTTGATGTATATCAATTTTGATGAATGAAAAAGATCAACTTAATCATGATCAATTGATGCTCATATAAATATAGATTACTGCATCAATTCGCTCAAATTAACAACTAATATTGATAAATTCACAAAAAAATTGCTGAGATTGATCTTCGATTGTTTGTATTGGAGTTGGTATTGGAGTTGCAATCAATTATGCCATTATTGCTGTGAATTTTCGAGTAAATTGTCTGCAAATTTATGAAGAAGAAAATTATGAAATTGAGTGTCGAAATTAGGAAGAAGAAAGGAAGCTCCGGGTATCATGTGTAAGAGACATGCTTTTTTGTGAATTCACCAAAATGTCCCCGGGGTACCTAGAGGAAGGTACACCCGGGTGTACAAAATAGGAGTTGTGAACATAGAACCTTTACAGATTGTTCGGATAAAGAAAAGGGAAAGAAAAGAAGGGGAGGGAGGAGAAGAGGAGGGAAGGGGAGAAAAAAATGATGAGTTTTCCTTCCAAATCTCTCCATTGTTGGAGGGATCAATTTCCTACAATTTAATCCTTCCATTCCCCTCCCTTCCAACTCCCTCCCTTCCTCCCGTTAGTTCTACAAACAAGTGTCTTACCACCAAAATATTAATATGTAGCAAATGACAGTATGAACAACAAATTTAATTACAAGTAAATTAAATCATAAAAACATTTATTAATTTTATGTAAATATGTAATCACACGGAAAGTAGCCATTATTGCTTCTGCTTGATGGCTATTTTCTATTAAAGAAAAAAAAAAACTTGTTTGGTTGGTATGAAAGAAGTTCCAAAACTAGAATAGAAAATTAAAGAGAAAAAAAAAAAAAAAAAAAAAAAAAAAAAAAAAAAAATATGTCTATGCTTACTATTGCTTCTGCTATGAATAGAAAATAGCCATCAAGCTAAAATAAATAAATAAAGGCACACTTAATCCCTAAATCTAGTGAAAATTTAGGTGTTGTTTGGTTGCAATGGTAATTTTACTTCCCATAGGAATCTACATCAAATTCCTAGTAATTGTTAAAACTTGTTTGGTTGTCATGAAAGAAGTTGCAAATCATAGGAATTTTAATTTATCTATGGGGACTGGGTAATCAACTTTGTCCGGAAGCCATTGTAGGTGATTCCTTGGGGCAAAGTATTTTTAAACTCCTTAATACGCCTTTTTGTAGATTTTCTAGCTCTTTCAGGCACCCATAATTTTGAAAAAAATACATCTTTCAGCATGATGGAATTCTCAACTACATAGGTAGCAAACTCAATGTCAATTGGTAATCCCAGAGAGCCAATGTGCTCCAATGTCTTCAAGCTTTTTAGAGGACGCCCTTTTCGTTTAACTATATCTCTCCTATAGTCAGTACTCATGTAATATGATAACGAGAACTGCAATGCAAGATGAGAAAAACCACAATCATCATTAAGCAAAACACTACATATAGGATTGAGATCCGTGAAAATGGGTATTTACATGAGAATCCTATCTTATGTGAGAATTGTTGCTTGGGGAAAGGATTTAATGAGAACAGGTCCATATGTGAAAACTCATACCTACATTATAACTGATATAAAATTTAGAACATGTGAGTAATTATTTAGAACATACGAGTAAAGATTTAGAACATGTGAGTAATTATTTAGAACATATGAGTACAAATTTAGAAAATCTACTTTATGAAATTTAGAACATGAGTAAAATTTAGAACATTTGATTTAATATTTAGAACATGTGAATAAATTTTTTTTAACACTTGGTATAAAATATAGAAAAATGTGAGTAAAAATTTAAAACATCCAAAAAAAAATTTAAAACATATGGCTTTAATTTCTAGAACATATGAATAGATATCATAGACAAACATTTTAAAATTCAAAACATATAAGATTAAATTTTGGAACAACTTATTTAAAATTTATAACACATAACTTAACTATATATGATTAAAACATGTGAGTATTAGTATAGAGCATTTGTTAGAACACCTGAAAAATATTTAAAACATTAGATTTAAAATTTAGAACATATTAGATATGTGAAGAACTGAGGGTATCTTGCCTGCATAGTGAGTTTCTCCAGGAATGGAGATGCCTCAATAAAATCAGCCCATCCAAGTAGGCTTTCATTACCCCTTGCTGTAACATGGAATTCCATATGTTTGAGGTTTGTCATGCAAGGTGGGTTATTGATCCCCATATTCACCTGCATAAGCAAATGATAATTACAAAATAAAACAATAAAGCAAACGGAGTAGCATTTATTCACATGGCATCTATTGAAATACCTTGACAAGGTTGCCACCAAATTGGGGATCCAACAGCAAGTCCCAACTCATGAACTTAACATTCGAGAAGCACGTTGAAAGGGAGCTAAGAGCATGGTCCACAATCTCTCCCTGAAACTCACCATTACCGATTGATACCTTAGAAAGCAACGACGAACCTCTAATATGGAGGTCTATAGGCCGCCCATGAAGAGTAAATGACACAAGTTTTGGGGCCCTAATGTCAATGCACATCAAACGGGGACAATTTGATACCTCTAAATGCTTCAATTGTAGGGATAAATCCGGAAGATTTATATGTGTTAAATAGATTGACCCATTAACAATGCAAAGATCCTCCAGGGCATAACACACACACAGAAGACACTCAATGTCTTTTCCAGTTATATTGACATATTTAAGACACAAAGATCTTAAGAAAGCCATATTAGCATGCAGAGCAAGAGATGACATACGACATTCAAGGGGCCAAGTATAGCAATCAATCAAGGAAATACTTCTGTTGTAGAATGGTGTGAAGTCCAATTCAAGGTGTTTGACTTGTTTTGATAATGCAAAAACCACCCATTTATCGATATCAGATTCTAATTTGACATCTAAGTCAAAAATCACCCTTAGCTCATCAATAACAGGACCAAGATGGGCTCCCACGACACTGTTAACCCAACCTGTAAAACCTGATAGACAAGTTCAAATCAATACCTGGTAAGAATAACATAGTAATTTATAAGCGAGCTTATATACCATACATCCAATACAAGAATTTATCAAACCTGATCTTTGTTGGGTAAGTAGGAGTTTATCATTTTCAATTGTAGAAGGATCAACTTTGAAGAACAAGACAGGTAAACATCGCCACAAGTAATACCATGTGCGTGAAAGAACACTAATTTTCCAGCTTCCTTCATTGTTAAAAGGGACATGATTGCCATCAAAACATCAAGTGGCAACTGACTCAATCGATCATTCGTATCAATGAACTCACAGCCTTTTGCTTCAGAACACTGAAGTAATTAATTATCATAGATATAACGTAAATTAGCGTGACAAATTTTGTAGCAAATTCAAGCAATAGAGTATATTAATAATGGACAAAAATAAATAATACACCAACCTGATGCTTGCAAGATTTTAGTATAGGCCATGTCGTTTTCTCCATATTGATCACAAAATACAAACTACAAGGTTCAACAATACCAATCAAATACTTATTTAAATCCAAAAATCACTCAATTATATCTGGGGCAAGGATTTACAGAGAAAAAGAGGGCGCTAAGCAACAAAGATAGCACCTTTAACAAGCAAATTTTGATTCAATTATCAAATTAAGCTCGAAAAATCACAGAATTTTAAGAGGGGAGTACGATATCGGAGTTCCATCCTAACTTTAAAGACAAATTAGATTCAATTATCAAATTAGGCTCGAAAAATCACATGATTTTAGGGGGAAAAGTCCAATATCTTAGTTCCATAATTTGATTCAATTATCAAACTAGCTCATAATTTTCTTCTCTAGAATCGCGACTTCCAGAACCTTACTAAGTTCAATAATCCGAATCCCAATTAAATTAAATTATCGTAAAACACTAGATTAATATTCAATAATACGAACCCCAATTAAAATAAAATTAAATCATCGTAAAACCCTAGATTGTCAAATTGATATTGAATTATTACATAAATAACAACATCATACCTCAAAAGCGGTTTCTATGGAGGATAGAAATACCAGATGACGTAAATTGCGCTTCAATTGGAAGTTGAAACAAAGAGAACGGAAGAGAGAGGAGGTGTTTTTTTTTTGCAGGTTTTACCAGGTATTTAGCTGTTGATCGGACTATTATCATTGTGTTAACATGAGGAATTGGAACTATAACTGCCGATGATTTTCTCTGTAATAAGTAATTGTCATTTTTGTCCCATTTAGTTGCATATGAGAATTAAATACCTATAAAAAGTTACAATACATGGAAAGTTTTATTGCCAAGAAAATACTAACGGCTTGTTTGGTTAACATATTGCCAAGAAAATACTAACTGCTTTTTTGGTTAACATAGGAATTTTAATTTATATTTCATGGGAATTTATTTCCTTCAAAAAATTTCTAGAAAATGGTATTAACTTGTTTGGTTGTCATAAGTGAATTTTGAGTGACCAAGGGAGAAGTAAGTAATTAACTTCTCATGTTTTATGGGATAATTAAATTTCCATGAATTTTCAATTCTTCCATTTTCACTTTTTGAGCTCGTTTGGTAGAATATAGGAATTGCAAATTCCTTGAAAGATTGATTTCCCATGAAATTGCAAATTAGCACACGATCTTAGGCTCTTAGTTCAAAACATCTTAAGCGATTTTAAATTAAAACATGCAACACACATTCACACTCTATGGATACATAATCTGGTCATGCAATTTTAATCTTAACACGCTATAAGTTGAATTTTGTAGTCTAACCTATTTTGTAGTAATGCTTTTGTTTATTGAATAACAATAGGTAATTCTTTTGTTGTATAACTCTAAATTTGAAGTTAAATTTTTATACATCGTACCACCCAAATTAGCTAAGGTAATATATATATATATATATATATATATATATATATATATATATTTGATAATTTTTACTGATTAAAGTAAAAAAGTGCATGGTTAAAGATACAAAAATAGATGAAGTTAATTAAAAAAAAAAAAAATAGGAAATTAGGAATGGAGGCAGGGTATTATCTTTGTTTCTAGAATGTCTGTAAAAAAGAACTCCCCAATTTCACCGTTATTTCCAGGAAACTACGGTTTAATGGATGACGTCATGCTTTTACTGCGGATGACGTAATCTCTTACCCTGTCATATTATCTTCTACTTGTTCCTCAATCCTCAGTGGGGTTTTAACATAATCCATAGACCATGTAGTTGCATAGTGTATCTATAATCTATTCATTGACCAATAATGACTAATGAGTAGTCCACCAACATCAATATTAAATCCAACTTACACGATCCATCGGTAAAATTTGGTTATCTATAATGTATTTGGGAACGCTATTGGTCGAAAGAGTTATTGAACAAATCTCGTCTGTAATTTAGTCATTATTTTATGCGTAGTACTCAATATAAGTATCTCAAGGAACAGAAATAAATGTTCATTTTATCTTAATTGTGACAAATACGGACGGAGTATAAGAACAAGATCAAGATTGAGTATGAAAAGGGTTCGAGATAATATGACAATCAAAGAGAAAAATTGATTTAGATAATGGAGATTTGAATGACAGTATGAATGATATCTACCCTTGAGTAATCTTTAAGCTAATGGGTGATTAGTTTTGATGGGATTGGAGTGTTGGACGAACTTTACACGAATTATGATTTACTTGGGATCATCTTTTTTGAAACGTCAAAATAAAGATATAATCATCTATCTACCATATGTCCATATTTGAAGATGATCCATCTTTCAAAAGTTAATAGCTGAAATTATAAAACAATTAGGCTATATACCAAAAGCTTTTTAGTCCACATAAACAGTATATTCCTACAAGATCAAAACATGAGAAGATTCAACAACCCAACCCGCCCTCGGGTTTGTTGTTCATCTTCTTCAATCTTTACATTTGTCCTTCAAGCTAAAAAAACGAGAGTGGGGAGGGGGTGTAAGTGCGGTAGCAATTAAATCTTTTAAACTAATCAACAACTTGGGTCCTGCAAACCTGTACTATCTCCGTAATAGCTACAAATACAATGGAAAACACGCTACTATGTCTGTCACACTTTACATAGACCCCTTGAAAATCATCTCTGATAGTACGTATCAACCTATAGTGACGAGCAAAACTCCCAACTGTCTAATTTTTTTCTTCTATTTTCTCAGGTTCGTTCTTTTTCTCATCAGTATTTTCCTGTTTCTTCGATTTCTCATCATTTTTTTCCTGTTTGTTTGTATCCTTGTCTTGCTTATCCTTTTCTTCATCCTCTTCATTATCATAGTACTCATCTTCATCATAATAGTACTCATCTTCATCATCATAGTAAGGATCATCGTCAAAGTATTCTTCACTTTCTCCATCATCTACCATTCCATTAGGCAGCAAACCTCTAGACTGCTGCCCCATCAAACTCTCTTGAATTCGGTCCCTAATAGCTGTTCCCTGATGAATGTCGACAATGTAGGAATTAGTATAGTTGTAGTTGTTTTCAAATGTAAAAGTTCCAACTTATAAGCATGTATACCATTTTATGACATCCTTCCTCAAACATCTCAAGGAATCCAGCTACCCAGCGATCAGCATTTTCCACCCATTCATTACGAGTCATTTCAGCGGTTTTAGCCACCGTTTGGATCTGCAATCAAGTAATGTTGTGCCTGTTAGTAAAGGTAACAAGACTAGGTAATATGTACAAACAATCACTATCCTCACATCCATAATAACACTAAAGAAACTAGGAAACAATGACTACCCATTCGTTATGAGTCAAACAATCACTATTCCCACATCCACATACATCAACCGTACACAGTGATACCTGTGTCAGCATAAAGCCATAAACTGCACTATTATAAGAGCTTGTAGTAGCCTTGTACACATATCTATTAAGAGTTGTGGGCATTTTAATACAATTTAAGGGTAGGTGCAAAGGTAATTTCAGAAGCCATGAAAAAAGTAGGGCTAAGTTTTAAGGAGAAAAAGGGGTGAGACAGACGATAGATGATAACCTAACAGAATTGCCAAGATTTGGATGCCTTGAACTAAGGACTGACACTTGAAATGCGTTGAGTAATCTTTTGATTGGTCATAACATTAACTTGCCCAATCAACAGAACTTCATAAAAGCAAGACTTCCCTACAGCAAATACTAGTATCACCAAAATTCTCGAAGGCCTAAGCCAACCATGTCCATAACAGCAGATAATTAGTAATGAATCGACTTCCGCCTGGCACTGAAAACAGAGTGCTCCATTTGCCAGCTCTATTTTCAGGGCTTTGTATAACAGTCATCACATCATTATCACTAGCTGCTACTTTCAAAATTCAAGAAACAAAAAGTGTGTGCTAACTAGTTAGTTAGTTACTACACCCGTTCTGAATAAGGCTACAGTTACAATAGCAATAGAAACCAAGGGGAGGAAAAAAGAATGTAGAAAGTAGGGCAAGTGTAAGAAAGTAAGAGAGATATAAGCTGTATAAATGTAAGATTTAGTTAAAAAAAAAGGGTAGGATTATGAGTGGGGTTTGGGTAAGACAATGTCTGCCAAAATATTCACATAACCTCTACAACTTGCCAATCAAAATATCCAAGATGCCAATGAGAGTGTAATGGACATGTTACATATAATTTGAATAAATACCACCTATATTAGTGATCAGACTTCAGAACCCTCAACCTTCTCAGAAGTCAAAAGAGCATTCCCAAAATATCTTAGCACTCCTTCCCCAAAGAAAAATATTCATGTTAACTCAATCAACTTGCCAATCATAATCTCCAAGATCGGCAAGATGCCCATGGTTGTTTTAGGTGGCAGTTTTCTAAAACAGCACATAATACATACTTGGGCAATTTCAAGTTTAAACTGTGAATTGATTTTATAAAATACTCCGCACATCAACAATATAAGGTATTATAATCAACTCTTCTCATATAAACATTGTCAGATGCTTAAACACACTGAAACAAAGTACTCCTGCTATCCTGAATTGACGATCTCATATCAACATTGATGAGTCTATGTCAATCTTTGACAAATTGTAAATTATAACTAACGTAATCTAACTGCTTAAATATAAATACCATGTGTCCAAATACCACTTTCAAAGATGAATAACACGAGTATATGTAAATGTACAGTTTATATCAACATAGTGTTCAAATTATCAAGCATTCATTCATTTTACCCACTCGATGCATACCAAATCGGCAGTGGGAAATTAAATATAAAGAGGGGGGGGGGGGGAAGGTGATTCTAAAACTCCTAAATACAGCCTTAATTAACATATATTTCTGAACACGAAGTTGAACCACTCAGCCCACCAAAAATCCTCTTCATCAAGAAAAAGGGTAACACGCATGCAAGGCCTCAAGGGAATTGACTTTGGTAACACTTTCCCTTATCTTAAGCATTCTACTGATGTGATAAGCAGAAGCAAGAGGTAGATGGTGCATATAAACCATTATGTATAAACAGTAAAGTTAAAAAGGGTGTCTGCCAGGCCGCCAGGATAGAGGCATCCCACAAGACACAAGCTATAACCTCGTTGACCATAATAACAAGTAAAAAACTAATCTCCACATAAAAGAGAACTATTCCTTAGAAGCTCTGACCATGATAACAACCAGGTAAGCTTGAGTTTAGGCACAAAAATGTAACTATGTTCAAGTGGATAAATTACATTGGAAAGAAAGTCAAAGTGATACATCATACAGGAAGAATAATAGATAAAAGCAGCTATAAAGCATGGAAAATAAATTAACCTCCTCTTTACCTTTTCTTGCTGCTCCTTGACTTTCTCATGGAGTTTCTTTAACCTCATATTGACTCTTAAACGTTTCTCCTGTAACAACAAAACGTACAAACATGTGAGAATACTGATATATAAATCAAGGGTCATACACCAAAACCACCTCAAGTCCTCAAAAGCATCATAATTTGACATGAAAAAAGTAATAAGGGAAGAGTTTACACCTTCACATAGCTAAGATTTAGCTCCTTTCTCGTATATCCACGATCCAAGTTACGCATCACATATTGATTGTAGTCTTTAACAATTCTCATAATGATGTCTGAAGTAGAAATACCATCTGTCCGTTGGGTTTCCTTAAACTTTCCAGCAAGTTTGACCTGCCACAAAGAAACTAACTTACCAAAAAATATCCAATAGCTATTGCTAAGGTATAGCAAAATTAATTTTATAGCAGCTAATCTAAAAGATGTTTAAAACAAACTCACAAATTCATAGACATCGTTGCAAGATCCACTGGTATCAGCATAACTGTAAGAAATCAAGGATAATTTGACTAGTTATGCATTGACACATGAAAAGTTCAAAATAGATTAGATAGAAAAGTGAAGAACTGAAATCAACAAAAAGAGAGTACAGCAAACGTCCACATCTAAAAACCATAGTTTCCAATGTTAGGTACAAAGGTTCATATTACACTTACGGAAGAGCATCATGGGCAACATAATCTATCTTATGCGCGTCAAGAAATTCTTGATCTACCACCCAAGGTGCATCAGGAATAACTTCATCAACCCATCTGCACAAGATTATCATAAAATCTGATAAAAGGGGAAACCACATGATCTTCCAATAAAATAAAATTAGTTGAACATGACAAAACTCATGGAAAAAGACTTGACCAAGAGACACCAAACTTCACAGATCCGTTGTCACGAGATATGACCAACTCATGACAATAAGACTCAAAACTTAACACTAAGTACTTTGTAACTAGGATTAAAGCTATTTTCTATAAGCATCCAATAACCATATTTGCCAAATATCTATACGACTAAAACAAATAACCAATATGCATTCCTGCTATAATTTAAAAGAGGAAAGAAAGCATACTTGCAATGACGAAGAGATTCGTAGCGCTCAGCTTCATTCATAACAGTTTTCCCCTTGTATTTATGGGTTATTGCATCACTGCAGCATCCCACCAGCAAATATGTGTTTGGAAATCTATATAGAACATCCAAAATTAGAAAGAAATTCAACCGAAAACGGTATCCCGGGTTCATATGCATAACAACAAAGACAACTTTCAGAGTACATAATAAACCACATATATATGAATCATAATCAGACAAATCAAAGAATGCAGAGGCAAAACCCCATTAATTGACAAACCATACAAAGTATAATCACAATATGATGCCACAATATATAACCATATAATATGAATAGATTCATAAACCTCTGTAATTTTTAAAACAGAATCATGTAAATATACATTAAACTCACTTAGAAAACACGATTTACAAACCGCCTATAGAAAACAATAGGAAGAAATTACATTAGAGAAACCTCATTAATAATGATCCAATCAACTTACATCTAAAGAGCATTAAATTCCCACCAAAAACTACTATATGATAAAATTAAAATCAACAGAATATAAAATACCCAGAAAACCCACATCATATTCAAATACAAACACACAATTCCTGAACCGCCAATAACATATAATCTAAGGAAATACCCAGAAAAAACCCATCATTCAAATTAACTTCATTTTGTTACAATTCAGTGATTTACCTATAATACAACATCAAAATCCCACAAAATCGACAAACAAAGATCTCACATTCAAAACCATATTACATAAATAAAATCACTAATAAACTACAAAAATTAAGAATTCAAACAATACCCAGAAAAATTCAAAGATCAAAAAGATGAAAAAGTTGAAAATCGTACGATTTTTTGGCTTGTTCAAGGGATCGAGCATGACCAAAATGAAAGAGATCGTAAATTCCGTCGGCATAAACACGAACAGGGCGGTCAGTAGGAGGGTCAGCACACCAAGTAGATTTGGGGTTTGTAGAATTTGACATTTTTGTTGAATAAAATTTGATTTGGGAAAATAAATTTGGAAAGTGTAAAGATTATGATGATTGATGTATTTGATACTATGCTTGTTGTATCGATCTCTCTCGATTTGCCATATTTCTCTCTCAATTGCAAAAACTGGTGCTACGTTTTCTTCTCTACCCCTCGTTAAGCGCAAAGAGGGGCCCTTTTCCTCTTTTAAAGAATATCCGGTTTATATGTTATTACTCCATTCGTCCGCTTTTGATAGTCACTTATTGGCATTTTTCAATAGAATTAATAAACACAAGAATAGTTAAAACACATTGAAAAAGTAAATTGATATTGTGTATGCAAAAAAGTAGAAAGAGAAAGTAATAAAAGTACATGAGAAAACAAAATTTACATAGAACAGTTAAATTTGCACAAATATTGCCGTAAATTGGAGGAAATTTTGGTAAAAAATTAATATTAATAGTTGTTGGAAAAGGCAAATGGGGCGAACATTTTGGGACTAAAATTTGTCCATAAGTGATTATTAAAAGGGGACGGAAGGAGTATAACGGATCGATGCAAATGGAACGATTTGGGAAGTCAACCTCAACACAAGGTAAAATAAATAGCAAAAACACGATAATAAAAAAGACAAGTGTTTATGAGGAAATTTTTGTAATAAGCCTAAATCCTCTTATATATGCTAACCTAGAAACACACATCAACTAGGATATTTTACTTATTCCCCAAAATAAGTAAAAGGTAAGTTTAGTTTATTTCCTAACATATGTCTCTCAAGTAACCGTCTTACATTAGTTTATCGGATGTTGTTATAATTTATAAAATAAATCACTTTAGTAACCTGATACGATAAAGTGTACAAAATATATCGTAAACCTATGAAAAATGTTATAGTATGATATTTATCATAATCTTAAAGGGACTAAACATCAACTAATTTAATTATAAAAAAGTTAACAAACGTTATTTAATCTTAATTAGATCTCATAATAAGTTAATACTAGAGATTGATGCACACGAGATGTTATTGGGGATTAATTAGACATTTTATTGTGTATTTGTGTGGTTACAAATTCATAAAGGGACAAGGTGGAATAGACTCCTTCTTTGTGTAGTTTAATTATTGTCACGTCACTTCATACTTGTATTTTTTATGAGCTAAACATTCTATGATTGTTGTCAATAATGCAAGGGTGACAAGAGATAAAAGGGTCAAACATTAAGCCTACCCAATACATAAGTAATCCAATCCAAATTTTGGCTTGTATGGACATTATGATTTAGCATGATTTAAATTTGATCTGACTTTACCTAATCCGACTCAATTATCTGAATTGACAAATCATAAAATCAAATATATATATATATTTCTATTTGTTTCCCAATAGACATGTTTAATTTTGAAGATGTTGCAAGAAAGCTTAATAAATCAAAAATATACTATTTCGTTGACCACCCCTTAAATTTGTTTAATTTAAAAATGTTTTTAAACTCTTCTAATATGGTTGAGTTTTTAAACTCCTCTTCTAATATTGTTGAATTTTTCAAGGCCGAGTATAATTTAGGGCTTGTTCACTTTAGCTTAATTTCAATTTAGTTTCCTTCTATTATAAAATAATCATTTCAGTTCAGCTCAATTCCAATCAGTTTAGTAAATGTGAACAGACCTTTAATATGATAAACTCGATCTTTAATATTGTATTTTCCCATCATCGACGTTATGTACACTAGGCTAAGATAATTTAAGACTAATAATAATATTGTGAAAATATTAGATTTAAAAACTTATAAAAAAAAATAGCAAAATAAACTTGAAATATTAGAAATTTCTAAAAATAAACTAAAAATTTAACTTTATATATTAGTTATATGATAAAGATTCAATCTAAAATTTTCTTATCAGTTTGACAAAATTTTTAAACAATAATGAGTACTATAAATACCATATCAATAATTTCTTAATAGCAAGTGAAGAAAACAAAACCTAAGTCTCGAATATTAGCCTGTGAGTGATGAGACACTCAACTTCTCCGGTCTCAACTCTCATTACCCAAGGATTTGTAAGCATCAATTATTAACATAATTTACATAAACATGACACTCAATAAACCTCCAAAAGATAATTTTTTTGCAGAACTCTGTATACTACCAGATATTCTGTATATTCAATTGTTGATCTTCACACATACCAATACTGTCAGTAAACAACATTTGCATAATCAGGAAACACTCTGAGTACCTTACACATAACCCGAACAAAAATAAAAAAGATTACTTCACTAAAAAATAGGAAGACATTCAAAACATTTCAGCATAATACAAGGGACAAAACCATCAAAAGAATATAATTTACTCTTTTAAACTGAAACTAACAGCAGTTACATTTGACCAGCAGCTCCTGAATCTCTAGATGAAATGGTTCTCCAGTTGATGCCTTAAATCGAGCAGGCCGAAGGGTTAAAAATGTCATTTGGTCTTGAAAAATTGTCATTGTCAGACAAGTGAACTACATAAATGACTAGTTGTAATAATCAGATAGTATTACACTGAAGGAATCCTCTGCCTAAAGAATCTAGTATCTGTCCTGCTAATCTACGGCACAATTCCGGCAAAAGAAAGCTTTCATTTCTGACCCGATTTATATCTACTTCAGATAATTCGACCAGTTTTGTGCTGGAGATTGTATTGAATGTGCTATACTCAAAAACAAACGACAGGATCAATGGAAAGACCATCCACTTGCGACCTCAATCCCACTCAAAAAGCAAGCTTCCACTGCATGTAAATGTAGTTACTCCTTTTATTCAAGCCTAAAAAGCCATTCTACCCGCGAGTCTGCTCTCAGATATTCTTCTATCAATGGCAGCATCTATTGAGTTCATCTGAAAATTCAAAAGAAAAAAATAGCTTAAAACTCATGCCAGCAAAAGCTTCTGAATAGGGGGATAAGCTTCTACACAATACATTGATAACCAAAAATTAGACAGAAGCTGACCTGGAAAGCACTGCAAAGTCATAAAAGATAATAAGAAACGATACAAATGGCAAAAGCCTGTTGGCATGCTCACCTTCCACTCAAAAGTCAAAACCCCATATTTCGCAGTCAAGCATGGGGGAAAATAATTAACAGGTAGCAAATTCAAATCTAAACCAGCAAAATACATACACTTTTAGTGTGGAAGGCTGGTGCAAGATGCAGGTAACCTTGAACCGCTCACAACATGCTTGTCAGATTTTACATAACTAACCATTCAATAGTAGAGCACATTTAAATACCTACTTGGACCTTTTTGATGCCCACAAAAGCAGCAGAATTTCCGTGGAAACTGGATAATGGCACTTAGAAATAGTGCTAAGTCGAAGCTATTGGCAATAAAATGTTACAATATTTCACACTGTATTTGAAATCAAGCACATTCAAAACTTGACCAGTTGACCTCACTTAGTCTCTCCATAAAATATAAACCAAGATGGCAATAAAACAAAAGTGTTACCTTTATGCCAAATACATAGGGAAGAGTTGTATCAAGTCCCAGATAACCATCAAAAAACCAGACTGAAATCTCAGAAGAACATGGAAAAGAACAGGGTAGTTCCAACTTACCTGGCTGGTTTCGTCGTGAACCTGATGCTTTGGCAACGATGCCCTTCTCTCCTCCTGCAAACATTTACATGCCAGTCATAAAGTGCTCTACAATGAAGGTTCTGAAAATTTACAACAGTTGACTTAACAGTTGAAGAAGCAAAATCATCAACAGAAGCCTACCATTGACATGGCTTCGTCATCCCACACCAAGTAAACCTCGTTACCGGCTGGCTGGTTTGCTGGAGCTTTATTAGCGATGACAGGAGGAGGACCAATTGACGGACCACCAGTGTTTGGGCCAGATGCATATGAATGTGAATTAATTGCTGCTCCTATAATCACAAAAATGAGCAAAGAGAAACTTAATTTTACTTTTGACTTCACCAAAACAAAGTACAAACCTAAAATGAGTCTCACATTTGATGAAATCTAGCATCTCAAGCATAAGAAGCAACGAACAGTTTCCTGCCATCCATGACTATACTACCCTACTATTCTGACTATCCCAAATACAGTGGAAAAAATCACTGCCGCTGGAGGAAGCATAGAGCTGGATACAGCAAACTTCTAAAGGTATTGAAAGACTAGGATACATACCTTGACCATTTGGTAAATGGTAATTGTTTACCACATTAGGAGGTGCATTAGAATATGTGGCTGCAGAAGCTTTCATGTCTGTGGACATAGATGGAAGAAGTCCTGGAGCAGGAACTGCTGAAGTTTGATTTGGCATATTGGCGGTAGCTCCAACAGGAAATAGAGGCTGTGAAACAGGGATAGGAGCCGGAGAAGAATGGACACCAGGTGGATAAGGAGGTTGAGACACAGGAGCTACAGTAGAAGACAGTTGTGGAGCGATGCTTTGAACAGGAAAAAGAGGCTGCTGTGGAGGAACGGAAGCTCCTGGAGGTACTGAAACTGCAGGAGGCATTGACATCGCCATAGGCGGTGGATACCATGCCGGTGGACGGGGAAGTTGCCAACCAAGGGGTCCTGGAACAGCTGGGTTGTACCTGCCTCCAGCAAATCCAGAGATAGAAGTAAATTAGAATCAGCATGTTCAGTAAGGCATAAATTAGGAAGAAAAATGAAGCCAAGTCTATAAAATCAGCATAAGAAAGGCAATTCTAGGAAACTACAAAACATAGTTTAAGACATCACACCATCAACTCAGATTCTAGCAAAAAGGTTTAGTAAGGCAGGATGCAGGGGGTAGAATCCAGATATTTGAATGTTACACCATTCTCCTTATTTTTAATTGCTCCACTTCGACTTGTGCACCATTTATAAAACCCAGTTTGACCATATTTTTATTAAAAATGTTTTTTAAAAAAGTTAGTACTACATAAAATGTTGTTAGATTTGTCTCGAAATATATTTTCAAAATATCAACTTTAATTTTATATACATCCATTTCTTTAAAATTGCAAAACTTCAACTATTGCATTATTCATAACTTTGACCACATTTTTAAAAATGATATACAATAAGTTATTGTGTACAATGTTGTCCAAAAATTTCAATAAGAAAAACAAAGTAAATAACGATATTGATGGCCAAATCAGCTTGTAAGAGTAATGCAATTTTTAAGGATACAAAAGGAAGTCCAAGATATTGATGGTCAAAGTTGGTGTTGTGAAAAGTGAGTCAGTGTTACAACCAAAATGGAGGAATTGTAGCCAAGAGAAAATTGACTAATGCCACATGTAATAAAAAAAAAATAGAGAAGAGTCACTAAAACATCTGACAAGAACTATTATGCCCTGCTTCACAATTAAATTCCAACAACATTGAAGACCTAAAGATTTCAAGGTGGACCAGAATTTGGTGCAGAGGAATTGTATTCCAAAATAATACATGAATTAGCTTAAAAATTGATAAGAAACCAATAGGTCATTTATTAACAACCTTTTATCATACAGTTTTGATACTGACCATGACACTTCTGAAAGGCCATATCAGGACATATATAGGAATTATAGGTAGACTTCTTTTACTCCCAAGAAAAGGAAACAAACTTGATCTCACTCCTACTGTCCTACACAGCTACACCAACCCTTACCCTTCTCATCACCAGCTCCCTGCTGCTTAGGAAGCTCTTGATGGTGACTAACAAAAGGCAAAGCCAGTGTGGATTTCACTGGTTTCCAATGATGGCTTGTTAAGGACTGACAACCTTGCAACAGACCTCCAACACTATCTCTTGTGCTTCTCTCTTAACTGGGCTACAAACCTCATCATCACTTATATCAGGTATGCCCAAGTCCACATTACCATATTCACCAAACAAGACAGATTTTTTTTCCAGGTGCCCATCAATGCCCCAAATTTCACTTGCCTCTCCCTCCCTAATAACCTCCTTTCCTCCCTCACAGATACAACAAGGCTAACAATCTACCTAAATAGATTGGGAATGCAGCACTTTTGTTCGGGGTAAATGAAAGCAAAAATTTGGTACAAATTCATGCCATAGGCAGCAAAAAAAATTAAAAAAAAAATCAACTAAGGTAATATAAACTTAACATAGAAACGAAGTTCAAAATACACACATGGGTCGCTGCATCATTCCATAAGTTCCAGGTGGAGCAAAACCAACTGCTCCTGGCATCATACCACCAACAATATTTGTAGTCGGAAAATCAACTTTTGCAGATTTTGAAGGTGTATCATCCTCTGCACGAAAATACAAAGAAAAATACTTTTAAAAGTGCACAGATAACAGACCAAGTCAATCACCAGATATTAGTACATTTAACAAGCTTGCCAAAAAAAGAAAAAAAAAAATTATAAATGTGGGTACATGATAATATTTAATACTATATATTAATATAAATTATGGTCAAAGTGAGATTTGAGAATAGTGTAGTACATAACTTTGGCTTTCCTTAGCATATAATATTGCTTTGTTGATATTCTACTAATCTGTATTTAATGCATAATAGTATTGAGTGGGCCAGCTTGAGAAAATACACATAATCACTCACCATACCTTCCCACAGATTTTCCTCAAATATCACAGTGTTTGACCATTACGGGTAGTCAGGTAAAAGTACAAAAGTATCCTAATTTAATGGCCAACCCTCCAAAACCTTCACTGGACTTTCTGTGTTGCATACTTGCTTAAGCTTCAATTATCCTGCTCTTATGTTAATTAAAAGACAGTTCTTGGCAAGAAAGACAACCCCTTTTCTAGCTCTTATGCACAACTCACTCTACTCTTCATCTAAAAGTGAGAACACACAGTCACACTACTGCAAGTTCACCACTGATACAATCAAACACAATTGAGCTGTTTGATCAACCGAGTTACAGTTGGATAACCCCCTTCCCCCTTGACCAGTCTTTAAAACGATATAAAAGCAAAGAATTATGCAATTCCTTAGGATGATCATTTCATAAATCAAACAGCATTGTAAAGAACCTTCTAAATATCACACTTAATTATAAATCACCATAAAAATTAGCTTAAAATCACAATAAAAAAAAAAGTTCCAATTTTATGACCAGTCCTTATGTATCCTACAACTTGTATATATGCTCAATATTTGCAATCTAGCTGCAGTTATTATAAAAAAGTTCTGAGGAAGTACAAGCAAAAAAAACAAGACAATACTACCTTGCTCCCCGTAATGAGCAGCCAAAACATCAGGCGGGATCCCTTGCATTCCATATATTTCAATATCAGTTGCTTCCCTTTCAGGTTTTGCATTAGGCACCCTGCAAAAATTACAAAAAAATGAAATCATAAATAAAGTTCTTAACATGATACCAATATGTTCAAGATAAAGCAGTTGAACAAGGATTGCATACGGATCTAATTCAATGCCAAACTAGGATACTATCTATGCATTTAGTAAATAAGCTAATTAAAAATTACAACTCACTATACTCTATGCTTCATAAACAACTCAAGACCTTGGTGGCCCAAAGAGGAGATGGTAATAATTGCGGGTAATGGGAAGAAAAGTGAACCTTTTCCAGGCTGTATCCTCCTAATGCTCATTGTCACCCAGCAACACCACTCAAGTGATAATAAATAGTGATGAATATTGTGATGAAGAAAAACAGACTTGGGGTGAGCTAGCATTACTATGGGCATTGCCATAAGAATTTCCATACCAACTTACAAACAATTGCATTGTCATTACCATTTATTACCCCCACCAGGACACCATAAGGTCCATGAATGTAAATTATACAGGAGTTTATATTGTCCAATCAGAGCATCTCAGAAGAATTTTCCAAAACTTTATAGTAACATAGCTTTATACACTAGGGTGTGGGATATTCATGGTAAAACTTTTTACATGGCCCTTGTAAATGGAATGAGTAGTAATGCACGTGTAAAATTGTATTAATATGAGATGCTCGATGTAATAGTCCATGACGATACGCATCCACAGCAAAGTATAACGCAAAAATTGTGCCTTTATTCATAATTATTAACAATCAAGAATCAAGATTAACCTTTTAAATGGAAGTGATAGAAAAAGGTAATACATAAAAAAGCCAATGGGTGGAGATGCATTGCCCTAGATAATCACACAAGACATTATGAATTCACCCTGTCTTAATTTTTTTACCTTGTACAAAGAAACCATATATGTCTAACCAAGACTGATCTGCCACACTACCAACAATTCGAGGAACACCACATACAAGAATCTAACAGCACCTTCCAAATAGACAAGATTCACAAGTTTTTGGCCCTAATAAGTTAATGTTGACCCCTCCACTATCGGCAAACCAACACTCTCCCCAACTCCCTGATCCATACCTAGCGTGCTGGAAACATAACATAAATACCGCTGAGACCCATTCCTATTTGGTTTCGCCAACATAGCTAAAACCAATTAGTTCCAAATTGCGTCCAAAGACCATAATAGTCCCTCATAAATTGCTTCCAAAGACCATAATATTCCCTCATAAATTGCTTCCAAAGACCATAATATTCAAGTAAAGATCGCAAGTTTCAGCATACAAGTATAAACCCTAATTCACAAATTATTACCCTTTCCCCAAAATTACTACCAAAAAAAAAAAAAAAAAACACACATCAACTATATTCCCTTAAAAACAAGCTCCACGCTCCATTAATCAAATCAAACCTAACCCTTGAAAATAACAAAAATAAAACACCTTTTCCCTCAAGTATCACAACACTAATTAAACCCAGTAGAAACAGAATCTAAATTTCCAATTCTAATTCTAATACACCACAAAGCAGTAGAATCAACGAAACAAGAACCACTAAAAACGGAAAATTAATTACAACGATCTGATGAAAACGACATAGAAAGTCAAAAACCTAATCAATGCAAAAATATCGGAAAAATCAAAATTAAATGAAAAGAAAGGGATGAAGAGAGAGAAAATATACTTGGTGACATTCTCCTTATGAACTTGAAGAACATGTATAACCATACCACCAGCAGTAGAAAGCTTCTTGTTACAAACATGGCATTTAAAATGCTTAGCTTTTTGATGTTGCAACAATATCTTCTCATCATCAAATTCTCTGTCACAATAGTAGCAGAATACCTTATCAATTTGTCTCTTCTTCTTCTTCCCCATTAATTCTTCTCAAAAAAAAAAAACACAGAAAATTCGCTCTTTTTCTTTGTTGTTTTCAACAATTGGATCAATTCGATGAAATTGCAGAAAACTGGGAATTAAAAAAGAGGAGAAATTGAAGAAGGAATTGAATTGAATTTGTTGTGATGAAGCAAATTTCTGGAGAAAAACCTCAAATTTGGGGGAGAAGAAGGAGGAAGGTAGGAGGAGAGCGTGAGAAGAAACTTCGGTTATTGGTGGAATTTTGGGTTTCTATTTCTTCCTTGATTTGATGAGATAGTCCAAATATCTTTATACTAGCGATGTTCGGCCCGTTTTGTCATTACTAACGTAACTCGTGATCTATACGAATGTACTTATAGGATCCCTACTTGTCTATCTGATCGGTTAGGTCGGGTCGGGTCGGGTTAGGTCGCTTTGATGTGGTTATGATATAAAGGGTAATAATGATTTGGAAATGATAATTATGCTTACTACATTACTCTATGCTACACTAATTAATGGCTTTATAATAAATCTTATAACACATTACTCACATCGTTCACAAATAATCTTTCTGTTAGGTTTGGATATATATTAAGATTCGAGAAGGTTGTTTATAGAGAGAGGTAGTACTAAATCAATCATTTTAGATACTTAAATTTTTCTAAACAGTGTCTTCACGTTTCCTAAATAAATAGTCTCAAGTCTGTCATGAACTCATCTACATAGAAGTATAGGACTAGCCTAGTACGAAGAATTTTTAGTCGGACGAACCTAATACGAAGAGGTCCCCCAAGATGTAACTTCTATGGAAGCAGAGACCTCTATTTCTACCGCAGTTAAGTTCCTTTGTGGATTGGAGCGACAGGTAGTGCCCACTTCAGAGTTCCAGTTGGCTCCCATTTCCCAGTCCATGTGTGCTTCGGTTTTGCATTCATATCCGAAGGAGGTGATCACCTCTATCACGATGGAAGTCTCCCACGATGTGAAGCAAAGTGTAGAAGGGTCATCTACCTTACCTTCACTAAATGTATCCTGTGATGAGGAGCGGTAGACGGTGCCCATTCCAGAGTCTCAGCCGATTCCCATTTTGCAGCAGTCCTTAGGTTCTCCAATGGTGCACAACAGTTCGGAGTGCATGACTGCCGCCCTTTCTGATGATAATAGTAATATGGGAGGAATGAGTTCACAGGAGATTGTGGGAAAAGTTTGTGATTTCAGCTGTCCATTTTGCATTCCAATGCCAGGTCGTTGGGTCATCCAATTCGCCGTCACAATGCTATTTTTCATCCTCGGTTTAGGAAGAAAGGTTCTTAAGTGGATTGCCCTAAATCAGTTGCAGGTTGCCAAATGGTTCGTATAGGTGCAAAGCGTGATCGCAGGCCTAGTGTGGACTTCAAGTTCTCCAACTTGGCTCGAATAAAGTTTGCTCGTGATCTCTTTGTTGTTTTTGTGAGTGTAGTTGGTTATTTTTGTTTGTTTTCTTTAATAGTACTCTTTGTCAAAAAAAAAAAAAAAAAAAAAAAAAAAAAAAAAAAAAAAAAAAAAAAAAAAAACCCTAGTACGAAGAAGAAAGAAATAAATTGAAGGTAGTATTTTATATTATCACAAAGTACCAATGTTTTTTTTTTATCCCCCATGGGAACATTTAGAACGAAAAGAGAAGTACAATTCTTCCCTTTCCATAAGGCTCATCTCTAGTTCTCTTCCATTACTTCTCCCCTAAATATACACCGTACGAATCAAGCACTTGGGATATATTCAGTTCACCACAAGCCTGGTGCAATTTTAGTTTCGCAGAGTTGAGACTTAAACACGTTCATAATGGAGTAGCCCGATGTAGACTTCATACAAAAAGACACTTGAAGTGAGTACAGTATTTTCTAGCGATGGAAACTAGATAGATGGGTGATTGATTATCCCGTACAGTTATCCTTCAATATCAAGGGGCCTTTTAGCAACTGTCCTTGCAGCACAACGTGTCAACGTGTCCACACTCTTGGACAACTGATTATGAATATCGGAGTTGTGACGCCTCGATCACTTCAGGATCAGTCTACAACATTGCAGATGGAAGCAACCTGATCCAATGCCTTTACTAAGAAAACAGCACCAATAGAAAAGCATGAAACCTTACTTTGCTTTCAAAAATCATAATGGCTGCAAATTACACTTATTATAAATACATGCATGTATAAATTATACAAGTTACAACAGGTTGAACATTTAAAATCTAATGCTAGAATGATATGAGTGATTGCAAAGCCCCAAGTCTACTTTCACATGAAACTAAAGCAATATCATTGTCTCCCATATTTCACAGACATCAGGAAGGAGCACGCCATTTCTGTGCATCTTTCAAATTGCACAACATCAAGAGGAGCTTCAATCTTCAATTCCAGATAAGCACATTTTCCAATTTCCATAAGTCCCTTCATGCTCCAATCACCAGAATGAGCTATTTTGATAGGGCGAAAGGGTAAAGGATATCTTTTAAGAATGTCTAGCTCCATCGTCATGCAATTGTGCAGGCCTGACATTGGCCTCTTCCTGAAAAAAAAAAAAAAAAAAAAAAAACAAATAAATGTAAATAAAGCTGCCATAGGAGCTACCTTCAGAATTTCAGATATTTGTGTCATACAGGTGAACTAACCCGAATACCATAAGGGAAACCAGTTGGTGTGCGGAAGAAATCCATCTGCCCCTGCAACACAGAAGGCCTAAATATTATAATTTCGAAAGGTGATCCAACTTTTATGAATGAAAGAACAGGTAGTGGAATGAAATCATCCAGCACGATTTACAAGCATGATAATCAGTAAACCTAGATTTGAACCCAGAACTTGTCAATTCTGCTGAGATTTATTAAATCGTAGGCGGTCTTTTGCAGCAACAAAGCAACCTTTCAAGCAAAATGATATGAACGTATTGCTGCCAGAAATTCCAGTATTTCAAGCAGCACTTAAGTAATTGTTATATAAAATGTGCATCAGTTTCAAACATACCAGCCCATGCATGCTTTGTTGACCATAGTAACCCTCATGGCTAGGTGCTATTGAGTTCAATTGTCCCTAGAAAGAAGAGAAAAATAAACATTAAAGACTTCAACAGTTATGCTTTGAGAACAAATGGAAAATCATAGTTCAATCTAACTTACAAGTCCTTGAATAGCAGCTGGATTTCCATAGTAATTCTCACGTGTTGGAGCCATCAAATTCAGTTGCACCTTCAAGAAGCAAGAACAAAGGCAAAATTTTACCATCTACTGAGATGAAGTCAACATGTTCTGATAACATTGCATTTCTTACCATTCCTTGCACACCCGGCTGTGTGCCATAGAATCCATCAAGAGTGGTAACTGGTCTGGAGCCTAACTTATCCTGCAAGTGCCAGAAACCACTTAGAATATACATTACAAAAAGTTTAGGCAGGCCTCATATATGGTTTATTATTCAATGTCATTACATCCAAGTAAAAGCAGCTGAAGGCTATCCACTCAATATTTAAATTAATAACTTGCAAGGGAAACAAAGAGCGAGAACTACACCATTTGTTGCAAGCCATCCTGTGACCCAATAGCCATAGCCTCTGCTTCAGTGTTCATCTGTTACACAAGACAAATACAGCTTAGCATGACAAACGAATAACAGAAGAAAGCAAATCACGACTATACAATAATACCATCCTACTAAAGACTATACTCCAATATACCTTCCGTTTTTTGGTCGGATTCTTCTTTTTTGTGGCCTTGCTAAAACTTCTGCTAGGACTGCCATCCTCAATGCTGAGAAGCCCATGAGTAGCTGATGTTCCAACTTCCATATGTGTCTTGCAAGCATCATTCACACCAATGCAATTGGTATATGCTTCATCTAGAGCACGGAGGGCGAGATTGTAACTCTCTTGGGATAATGACCCTTCTTCACTTAATTTCATTGCCCGATTACACAAGTGATTATACCGTTGGACTCGAGATGGTACTTGTTCCATCACTTCTCCCATCAAATGCCTCTCTTTGGCATCTTTTGTCCACCGCTTCAATATGTATTGAGGTGGAATCATGGAAAGTCCACAGATTTGGAGAACAATCATTGCATGTCTACAAAGGAAACCTTTGTACTCAAACAAATGGCATATGCAAGAAACTTCTGATTTCATTTCATTCCATGTAACCACAAAGTCTTGATTCTTTTCAAAATCTTGAACCTTGAAAGTTATGATCAGCTCATCTTGTCTTTCTCTCTTAGGATGACAGGCAACAGCACCCAATACCTCAACTTGAAATTTCTTGAACATTGCATGTGTATATAAAGTTGACATATGCTTCTCAAACGGAGATGGAGATTTTAAAGCTGGCTGTTTATTCAATGTATCAGAATCTGCTCTGGCTTCCTCTTCATACCTATCTTGAATGATGGTGTCATATTGCTTTATAAAATCTGACACCGTAGTCTTTTTATGTACATACTTGTCAAAATAAGAATTAACACTCTCGGATCGCTGGACAACTGACATGCCAGCTAAAAAGGAATCCTTCATGTACGTTGGAACCCATAATTTACGGTCATCATAAAGTGAGCGAATCCACTCATCATCCTTATTGAGTTCAAATCTTACAACAAGCTTCTCCCACCTCTTCTCAAATTCTTCATCACTCCATGACCTATAAATACATTTGTCAAACTTAGCCATAAAATTCTCATGCTTCTTAATAATATGACCAAGATTCTCTGAAACCTTTCCCAGAATATGCCACAAATGAAAGCAATGGCGAGTATTTGGAAAAATTTCAGAAACAGCTGATTTAATAGCATCATCTTGATCAGTAATGATTACTTTGGGAGCTTGTCCACCCATTGCTTTCAACCAAGTCTGCATTATCCATGAATATGTTGCTGGGGTTTCATCAGAAACAATAGCACATCCAAGCAGCATGAACTGATAGTGTTGATTGACCCCAACAAAAAGAGCAAGAGGCATTTTATACTTGTTTCTAATGTAGGTTGTATCAAAGGAGACCACATCACTAAAACTTACGTAATCATGCCTACTTTTGGCATCAATCCATAATAAACTCTTCAATCGCAAATCATCACTCAGCTCAACAGCATAAAAGAAGTTAGAATTCACATTTTGCATCTGGGTGAAGAAGTCAAGCAACAGCTTAGCATCCCCTGCTTCTAGTAACAAATTGCGGTTCTTATCAAAGGGGATCTTTGCGTCATTTTTTAGCCCAACCACATTTTTATATTCGGCGTAGTTTCTAGCCATAGCAGCGTACATCTTTCTCGTTTGCTCACTGACCGCTTGAGCAGGTAAAAGTTCATGGTTGTGCTCCTTGATAAAACTATGAATCACCCACCTTCCATCTGGCCTCCTTTTTACATGCATGCTTGCTTTGCAGTTCGTCTTACCACATGATCGACGGCCAGTAGCACTTTCAGGTTCTTGCTTATTACATTGTCGAATACGGGGCCGATTGCCTTTGTCATACTCCCTTTTGGTCCCATACCTAGAACATGCAAATTTTGCATCTATGAACTCTCTTGATGTCTTTGAACGACGACTATTTTGAATGGCTGTGTTAAATCCCATTGACCTGGCATATTCCTGGTAAAAAGCATATGCTTCCTGATGAGATACAAATTCCATACCATGTAGAGGCTCTAGATTCACATCTTCCTTATATTCAACCAGATCTGGTGTGATAGAATTCAGAGCTAGTTCCTCTTCAGCATGCACATCTGGAACAACAAGAACAGTCTCTGCATCCCCGCTGTTATCTAATCTGTCTTCTCTGTCCAACAAATTACTATCAGTGGTTAGATCTTCATCTTGCCGATCTTCTTCTTCCCCAGATGGTAGCCTAAGATCTATATCCATGACACCAAACTGCTTCCAACAATAAGCTTCCTGCAATTGCATCAATAGGTAAAAGGCCAAGCCAAAAGGATACAACTTGAACTGCTGAATGTTGACGAATAAAATGAGAATTAAAGAGTAAACCCAATCCAACCCTACCTCCAAAAATAAGGATGTGAGACCCCCAACACAAACAGTGCATTAAAATATAAAGGGGAAGTGAGGGACATAGAGAGAGAAATGAGCTTATGTTTTCTCTTCAAATCTTTTGAGCTTTGCAACATTTGGTTTAGTAAAAGGCAAAGGTTATTGGCTCTCTCCATTTCCCTTCCCCTCTCTTCACCAATTCATATCCAGATATAGTAATATGAATCCATTACTTTCCCTCCCTTTTGTCTCCCTTATAATTCTCTCACCCAAACACATTGCAAGGGTATCCAAAAGGCATTAAGTTAGCATGAAAGCATCTGTTAACAGCGAAATAGGGTCACAGATAGCTTGCAGTTCACAACAGATTGGTAAGACAGTTCAAATAATCATTCAAAATTTTATCACAACTTGCTGCAGTGGGAAGGGATAACTTGCTAGATACCCTCGGAACACCATAGCTAAGACACCATACATATTCGGACTCTCTTACACATGTCAGCGGATCAAAGATTAAAAGCCAGAAATTGCATTGGGAAGGAGGGTGTTCAACCAAAATCAATCAAGCAGACACCATAAAAAGACTATCAAAAAAGCATGTCCTCTACAAAAAGTGATAGAATTACACCATCACTATAGATAAAAACTAACAGATTCAGATACAAAATTGACATAAGTACACCATTACTACAGATAAAATCAAACAAATTCAGCTGGGCAATTGGGCATACGTTCAAATTTCATTGTCGAATCATACATTCATGAATCAAAATGGCATACTAACTGCATGAAGCCTCCATAAACAAATTAAAGCTCATAAATGCACCAACATGATAAAGATTTCACACAAATACATGTTCATCATTAGATTCTTCGAAGCTATTTTCCGGATTAAAATCATCTCATCACTACAAAACAATTACTACTACCGAAATTTCTCCTACCAGAACCTCCAACGTACACACGATTTCATTTTCAGATGATCCAAAACACAAGCATAACAATACAATGAAATGTCAAATGTTAACGACTTGTCAATTTAGTCTCAAATTTTATAAATGTGAATGTCAACTAACTTAATCGTATGAATGCCAACTAATAGTTAAATACTAAAATTCGTCCAAAATATTGAGATCGAATCCCGTCTACATCAACACTATTATACTCATAGCTCATTTCGTAGTTACATCAGTTTGTTCAGTCAGTAGTAATTCCAGTTTAGTAATACTTCAATCGAATCCCCAAAATCACAATTAACAACATTACAAACATCAAATCACGAACAAATTCAACAATTAGGTTAACCTTAGTTCAAAAATTCCTGATCAAAAACCAAAACCAAACCAATCAAAATCCAAAAAATAACACAATTCCTCAAATCAAAATCACCATTATAATCAGAATCTAACAATCAAAACACAAATAAGTTGTAATTAATCAGCAAAATTAGAAGAGAGAGAAAGAGGAGAGAGAAAATTAAAAAGAAAGTACTCAGAAAAAAGAGGGATTTTTGAAAGGAAAAAAGAAAAGAGTACCTGAAAAAATTAAAGAGTGAGAAGTGATCTTCTGAAACGGAGTCACGCGAGGGGAGGGAGCGAGTGGAGAGAGAAAATGATTCTGGGAAGTATTTGTTTTTCAGAGCAAAAAAAAATTGGGGTTTTAGGGTTTCCTTAACACGCTCTCTAAAATTTCTGAGTTTTGAGGGGAATGAATGAATGATTAGCGCGTGGTCGGTGTATTTGTTGAAGAAGAATTTGCCTTGCTTTTGCGGTGCTGCTCACGGTTTGCTTCTTACGTGTGATTTTTTATGGCGCGTGTTTTACCTTTTTTTTTTTTTTTTTTTTGAAGGGTTTTACTTTCTTCTTTTCTTTTCTCTTTATTATAAAATTAACAAAAAAAAAAAGAAGTTTTAAAAAATTAAAAAAGAGTAGTTCTTTTGAAAACTTTTATCTATTTATGGGAATTTTTTTTTTAACAACGGTGTAAAAAGGAGATTAGCTTCCAATTGACTTGAATGTACAAATAGAACAAGGAGAGAGTTTAGCTCTCTTAGCTACACTAACATAAGACTTAAAGTGGGGATTGCGGGTACAATAAACACGGTTTACTTGATAATGCAAAACAGAAGAATGACAATCATGAACATGAATCATAAGATGCTCCAAACTTGATCTTTTGCGCTTCTTTGACCTGCAAAAATGGAAATTGAGATATGGTTTACCTTTCTTTTTCTTCACCCTTGGCCTGTGCGACATTCCTTGCAATTTAGTTTAGCTCCAATCAGTTCAGTTTCTAATTTCCTTCTTTCACAAACAATTCATTTCAGCTTTATTCAGCTCAATTCAACCCTAATAAATTCACTTCATCAGATGTTTTTAGTAAATCGGAATAGGCCCTAAGTCTGACATGAATTAATGTAATCACGACCACATGTAGCAAGGTTTTTTCTGTTTTTGAAAGATTTTCTTCTTTTATCTCTACTACGGCAGTCAACGCGCGCGTTGCGCGCGGAATGGCTAGCCTTTGTAACTTAATTTTACTTGTCTTGTGTTTGCACTTCACATGGAGAAATAAAAGACCGGCAAAGCATATACTACCTCTGGTTCAATTTACTCGCAACAAAGGAATATTTTATGTCTCACAAATAATACCCCTTTGTTGCGATTAAATTGAATCAGAGGTAGTATTTCTATTGCTTAGGCGTTGTTTGTTTGTAGTTGTGCTAAGTTGAATGTTATGTGTGAAATATCTCGTATATTGAAAAAAATCTTTATTTTATTATTTGTATATGGTGATTCTTTTAATTGAAATACTATGTAGAGTCACTGTAGAATATAATTCATAGATTTTCAATGATAATGCAGAAAAGGAACAAATGTTAGAATTGTTGTTTGTTTATTTTCGCAATGTTGATATTAGTATTATTTAATTGTGGTGGTACAATACGAAATAGAGAAAGAATCATCAATGACAAAACCGAAACGACCAATTCCTAATCCACCACAAAGGCTAACAATATTAAACAGCTGCTATATATTGGTATTGTCAATTTTTTTTTGCCACAATTTGATTTGGAAATTTTGGGAAGGTGGTGAACAAAGATGTGAAATTTAGTACTTGGAAATGGCAATGATAGTGTGGGGAGAGAAAGGTAAAAGCTTTCAAGAGATAGAGTCATTGAGAGGAGGAGAGAAAGCTCAAATGTGTAAGGAAATGTAGACGGGTAAGAACTATTTGAAGTTGGACACTATTGGAGTACAAAATTACAAATAAGAGTACAAAGGTAAAACACATTTTGAAAAGTAAATAGGGGTACAAAGGTAAAATAATATTTTGAAGGGTATAAAATTCCGTGCACTATTCATAAGAACAACTTTCTACTTTTTATAAGGTTTTATAAGGTAGGGATTTTGTCTCCATCTCCGCCTTCTTTTTTCTCTTTGTCTCGGTTGTGAATATTTGTATGGGCTTCCACTAGTGTTTTTATTACTGGTAAACCCCAATAACATTTTAATTGCTTTCAATAAGTAGATCGATCTCATCTTTATGATGATGATTTTTCTGTTGTACTTATTTCCTTTTTCTTTTATACTGCGATAATCGAAAATCCTGGGTATCATAATCTACATAATAATTTAGTGGACCATATAAGTATTTTCACTCAAACGATCATGTATAAGCAAATTTCAAGCCGATTCACTACTAACTCACATATTTTATTGATTCAAAAAAATGAAGTTTTTAATTAAAGTGATTGTTGATCAAATCTGCGATGTATTTAGTTTTAAGGTATTTATGTACTTGTACTGGAATTCTTGATTTCTTAGGAATTATATGTAAGTGTCGTTTGGATATATTATACTTCCTCCGTTTTTTTTTTACTTGACCCGTTTCTTTATCATGTTTGCTAGTGCAAAACTTTAATGATCAATAACTTTAATTCTCCATAAGTAAAAATTATAAAAGTTATATATTATGATGGTACTTATTGAGACGAGTTCAAAAAGATCCCACACGAATATTTTTTTATTACAAATTATTCACAAAAGAGGAGTCATGAATAGTGTAAAAGTCAAATCGGGTCAAGTAAAAAAGAATGGATAAAGTATTAATGAAATATTTTTTCCTCATGTCCAAAAAAAAAAAAAATTGTATTTCTTTCTCACAATATGATAATTGTCAATAGACTTAAAGTCGGCATAACTTGTATTCGAAAAAAAATTCCTTACTTAAACCCAATTCGTACTCCATGCACCCAACTCAACCTGTACCCAGCACAAAATCTCATCATGAGTCTAAGGCCCTATTCTCTTCAGATTATTTTCAGTTGAGTTCAGTTTTTAACTTCTTTCTCTCATAAAACATTCAGTTCAGTTCAGTCAATTAGAACATAACTTAACTACATCTGAATAACTCATTTATCACTTTTTTTTTCTCAATCCAATGAATAAAATGGGTATATGTAACAAAAAAATGGTACTGTACTTAAAACATAATTTTTCTTTGATGTTAAATAATAAACCTACACGAAATCATTACATTTTAAGAAATGATACAGAATTAACTTATTGAGGCCTTGTTCCATCACCTTGTGTTTGACGATTATCTATTGTAGTTTTTCTTTATTATTTCTTATTTTTACTAAATTGAAATTATTTTTACTAGACTAAATATTTTTTTTAAAAAAAATAAATATAACTGAAAAACAATATTTCTAAACACTTTTTACATCCAACCAAATGAAACGGGTCAATCAACATCGACTCCAAGTGGACCATAAATTTAATGGTCAACCGACCATGGGGTGACCCTTAAAAAACAAACCAAATTAGCATCATCTCCATAAAGAGTCAACCTCCAATATACATCTTCCACATACAACTACAACACAAGTTCTTTCCACTCGAGAAAATACCATTAATTTTGGTTGCCTTTGCCTTTCTGTCAATTCTAAATTATTACTCCCATCACTTTATATATATATTTTTTTGATACTTTACTTGTTTACTTTCCCACTAATCCTTTTGTCACTATTGATTTTTCCAGCTAGCTTGCTTGCTTTCCTCTCCATTTTCTCTCTCCTAGGGTTATGAATTTTCTTCTTCTCAGTTTTTGCTGCTAATTCAGCTCTTTTTTAGCTGACAATTATGGTCAGAAAGCATGGATTTCAGTTACCAGCTCATACTTATCAGGTTTGTCTTTTTCTAATTTTGTCCATATTTTTTTTTTTTTTCTGTTTTTTAGTTGTTGTAATTTTAGTTTAATTTTAATTTTTTTTAGCTAATTTCGATGTAATTTTGTCTGATTTTGAAGTTGTTGCTTGAATTTGCTCGAATTTTGTGCTTAATTATGTCTGCATTTCCTTTGTTTAGCGTAATTTAATACTGAAAATTTGAGAGTAGTGAATGTTACTTAATTTGTTTATTTTTTTGTTTGAACGCAAAATTGTTGATCATGTTTAAGTAGTTTGGAGCTGGAATTTATGGATAATCATTGTTTTCGATGTTCCGAGCGCGATACTGACACTACTGCTAGTGCTAACTCAAACAAGTAGACATGGTGGTCTTGAGGAAAATGTGATTATGGACTGTTTAGCTGCTTGAGGACTGTTAATTCTTGCTTAAAATCAATGGAATTATGGAAAACATAGTTGTTTGAGTGATTGAATGTGCAAAAGGAATTGTAGAGAGGTTGTGACTAATCATTAATCTAATGGTTGAGATATTTGTGATGACTCGCGGAATACTAGTTAAAGTATTTGTTGTTGCTGCAAACGCTTAGGTGAGACGGAACTTGAGTTCTAGACAGGATAATATGATTGATTAGAACGACGGATTGATCTTGGCGAAGTTTATTAAGATGCATTTGTTATCCATTGAGTTTTCTAAGTTGAATTTGTGCAGGATGTTTTATAGACTGCTTGCATATGTGCTTTATAATCTATTGTATAGTGATTTGGTTTTTTTTTTTTTTTTTTGTTGGACAGGTTGTTGCAATTACTGTATTCTGCTTGCTAGTTGTTGAATTCTATGCTTTCCTTGCACCTTTCCTTGGAGGCCGAATATGGGAGTATGTTTTGATTGCTACATATTCTCCAGTGGTATGTCTTTTTATAGCTTTTCTGCAGTCCTATATTATCGTGTTAATTTTCCATTTCTCCTCTTATTACAGTGCTCTGCAACTTCTTTACTTATGTCTTTAAACTCTTGATGCTTTTGTCAGAAAAAAACATAGGAACTTAGAACTTATGATGCTTGTTTTATAGAAACTATTTAAAATTTCTATAATATATATGTTGGTGGAACTGGTCGTTGGTTTGGAGCACTGCAACGAGGTTGATAGAATATATTCAAGGGATGCATATTGTTGGTGAGAGGAGATCCTTTGGCCATACTTAGTTACAATACTAACATCTGATGTTGTTGACTTTACTGGATAAGAAAAGCTATGATGTTCGGAGGTAGAAGCATCAGGTCTTTTAATGGGTTTGACCTACATGAATGGCTAGTCTCCTGGATCAGGGCATGCAGTAATGTGCAGAAGTTATTATTAAGTATAGATCTTTTGTTCCCCAACCAGGATGCTAGAATCTAAAACCCATTTTCCTGGACTCCTTAGGTAGAAAAGTTGTTGCTATGGGATCTGTATCTCCCCATGGCACAACTCATTAGGTCATCCTACTTACCATCTTACCTCACTATTTGGGGATAAACTTGTGCTGTTTCATATGGGGATATGGGAAATGAAGTTCAGAAACCCTGGGTTATAATTACAGATTTACTTTTGGGCGTCTTCTTTTAGCCATTGGTCAATGGTCTCTAGTTTTGTGTTAGAACTGATTTGTTTTCATTCCTTTTATTAGTTTTTTTCCCCTTTTCTAGTTTCCATTTCTGTAAAAATAAGAAAATAGATGTAGTGGGTATATGGGCCTAGAATCCTAGATTGCTTGATAATTAAGCCAGACTGTGCAATGTCGAGGCGTATTATCTGACAGATGATTTTTGAGCATATATAAGAGTAGCACTTACACCACCATTCCTTAAGGAATCCCTAAATTTCAATTTGTAATGAGACCATAAACAAGTTAGGATTCAGGAGACATTTTAACTAATTCCTTATATCATAGAATGATATTATCAATTTTTTTATTATTATTCAAGGCACGCTGATTGTTATATCTCTGTAATTTGAGCTTGCTTAACTTACTATTTTATAATTTACTTCTATTCTGTATGGCCATGTGTATGATACCTCTGTCCTTTCGCTCACCTTATGCTTCTAAATCTGTCAATGTGTAGGCACTCATTGTTTTCATTCTTTACGTGAGGTGCACTGCTATAAATCCTGCAGACCCAGGAATAATGTATAAATTTGATAATCAACCCAACAATCATCTCAATGGAGAGTCAAACAAAGATGTACATAATAGATTTGATGAAAATGGTACAGATGGTCACTCCTCGCCGTATTCAGTGTCCAGGAGCTCGACAATGGCAAGCAACTTGAGTAAGATTGGTTCAGCAAAGGAAATTCCTAAGTCTAGTGATCCTGTACAGCGAGGAAAGAAAAGATCTTCTTGTAGTGGCATTGGAGGAATCTTCTGTTTATTGTTTGTCCATGAAGATTGTCGTAAAGAGGAGGATATTGAGGAACAACAAGGCAACGGAGAAGATGCTTTATTTTGCACACTATGCAATGCTGAGGTATTTTGTCTATGAAATCATGGCTTTATTGGTTCTACTTGTCTACATAGCTTCTACTTTGGCATTTGTATAAGTTGTATCGGCCCATAGTAGAATTATTTATTTATCTTTTTTTCCGGTCTCCAACAAATTTAAAGAACTTTTGTGCTTTATAGTCTGTACAACTCGTGCATTTCTGAAATCTATTGGGGTTGAAGAAATCCAGTTTGTATACAGGTTTTGAATTCATTTTGTGTAATCAATAATTAGAATACTAAGTTTTATGTCTTGTATAGTCATATGATATCTAACACTTGAATTCTGTCTTGTTTGAGTGTGTTGCTTTTCCAGAAATGATATTGTGATCAGGAATCTTTGGTCCTATTTTTTTTTATATGTTATATAATTTTTTGAAAGGATGCTAGATAATGGGCATATTCAATGATCTGATTCATGTGCAATTGAGATCTCAAATAAGTGCTTTGAAGGGCATTAAACACTCCAGTCCTATGGGTTGTAGTTGCACACTTGCATGCATATTTTGACGTTCTATGTTAGTTGTACTGTGAATTTTCAAACTCCCGATGTAGTGAGTTGGTAAACAATCCATACTGTGTACTCTTGGCCTTTCCTCATTAACTAGGGCCTCCATTCAGGTGCGCAAGTTCAGCAAGCATTGTAGAAGCTGTGATAAATGTGTGGATGGGTTTGATCATCACTGCCGGGTATATTTCTTGGGTCATTGATACTGTCAAATGTTTATGTTCACTAGCCTCTTTTTTCTAGCTGAAAATTTTACATCAACTTATGTTTTGGTTTATGTCAGTGGCTCAATAATTGCGTGGGAAGGAAGAATTACATGACTTTCATCTCTCTGATGGCCTCAAGTCTTATTTGGGTATGTTTTGAAGCATATGTTCCCTTTAAGGTGCTTTGTTTTTCAATTTATTATATTGACTATGCTGTTTGTTAGTTCAGCTTGTTATTGAAGCAGGAATTGGTATTGCTGTGTTTGTACGTTTCTTTATAAATAGAAGAGGTATGGAGGCTGAAATTATTGACAGACTTGGGAATGGTTTCACTCCTGTCCCCTTTCCAACAGTGGTGGTATGTTGAACCAAAATGGGGTACATTGTAGACCAAATGTAATATTTTACTTTTTATAAATAATGTGGATGGGTTTGTGTTCCTTTCACCTCATCAAAATATTTTTTTGAATGCAGGCTTTCTTCTCGGTAGTTTCCATTATAGCTTGTATACCTTTGGGCGAACTGTTCTTTTTCCACATAATACTGATGAGAAAGGTAGGCGCCTTAGCATTATCTTTCTTATGATGCTGGTTAGAATGGGAGTGATTTTAACATGGAACTTAATTTGGGGCTGCAACACTTGTGGCTTTAGGGTCTTACGACATATGAGTATGTTGTGGCTATGAGGGCTATGAGTGAGGCACCACCAGGAGCAGCGTCTGACAATGATGAATTACCAAATGAGCTGTATTCACCAAGTGGGTCTGCAACAACTGGTTTCAGCGGTGGCAGTTCTCTAGGCCTCCAGTACAAGGGTGCTTGGTCGTGTACCCCTCCCAGAGTATTTGTGGATTATCAGGTATTGTCTATAATATAGTTTGGTGATCTTGCTTCACATGACAATTGTTTAAATTGATAGCCTGTTTAGGTACCGTGTCTTCTTGGTATATCCCGTGTTACTCTCCTGCAAGGCACCGTGTATGAAACTTAAATACTTTGGAGATTTAAATTAGTTTCCACGTTATATATTATTCTGCAAGAACACTGTGTTGATAGCATATCAATTACATCATCTTTAATCGCATGCCTAAGGATGATTAGGGGTCAATTTAATTTAAATTTAGTATTTTGTTATGCTGGTTGGTTATGCTGATTGTCTGAATAATGTGCATTGTATTTTGTTAGTTGATGCTTGTTTACTTTTTGTGAGCTGGATTTGTCATCTATAACTGTATAAGATTGCAAGGAAGTAATATAATACATGGTTGTTCAGCAGCCAGAGCAGATAGAGTTGTTATGATTCTTATGAATAGGAAAATTGCTTTCTTTAGACTAAAATTTGACCTTGCATGGCTTTTATCTTACTCATCTTTCCTCAAGAATATATAGCGTGATATTGAAGCATTGTGGCAAGTATGTTTCCTAGACTTTCTCAGCTTTGACCTTGCCAGTAGGAGAATCCTAATTTGCTGGTTGTTGTTGGTGATGGTTTGAGCCTATGGCACTCGAAATTGTGTAGATGGAGGAGGATTGTCGACGACTACTGGAGATGGAATCTTTGGTTCATGCCGCCAACCTCATCCTATTGGGATTAAGGATGTGACATTGTTGTTGGTAGTGATGGTTGTGTGGTGTTTCTTAGCTTTCTTGGAAGGGGTTGGGGGAGGAGGGTTGTATGGTTCGGACCCTCTTGGCCTGCTCCCATTCCTCACACAATACTTGGTAACCACTGAATAGGTGCCACTGTGCCAAGTATTTCTATTTGAAAGGAAACTTGAAAGAGAGATTGGGATGTTTATAAAGTTGTATAAACATCCACATGTATTGTGTATTACTATTCATTACCTTATCAAGTGTACACTTTTACTTGTTCAAACATCGCATATTATCCAATGCATAAAACTTCCAAAGCTAGTGCTTTGTTTCATCTTTCTGCAATATTTGTCAATATGTGATCATTCAAAGTTGTGTTATCTCTATACTTTGCTCATAAAACTGTGGTGTAACAGGAAGAAGTTGTCCCTCATTTGCAGCCTGGAATGGTCCCATCAACCACTGATCCAGATGCAACAGGACGAAGCAAGGCACCTAGAAAGCCAGTCAAGCGCAGTGCATTAAGGCTTGCAAAGTTGGATCCCAATGAAGTCATGAAAGCTGCAGCAAAAGCCAGAGCTTCATCATCTGTGATGCGACCAGTTGACCGTCAACGACAAGCTATTGACTATAGTTCCAGCGAAAACATAAGCATCCAAAGTAGTGTGAGTACAGATATGGGTGCAAACAAAGATTTTAAAGGCGACTTTAGAATCTCTTCTATGAGAAATTCTGTTGCTCCTAGTCAAGGAAGCAGAGATGAATATGAAACTGGGACCCACAGCATGAGTAGCTTCAGCAGTCCTAGTCATGTACACGAATCAGTAACGCTAAGTCCTCTCCCACGAGCTCATGGATCAAACCATTTCAATGCAGCTGGCTCTATTCCTGGTTTGAACGCAGCTCAGCCTTCTACTTCTAAGGGAACCTTCCATGGCGTTGATCCAGTATCTAGTTTTCCATCACTACTCGACGAGAAGAAGTTTCAGAAGGAAAGTAGTACAGATCCATTATTGCTCTCAGCTTCAACCGCTCTTCTTAGAGATGTCAAAAGGACATCTGTAATTTGGGACCAAGAAGCTGGGAGATATGTATCAGTCGCTGCTACAACAGATGCTAGAAATAAATCTTTACAACAAATTGCAACATCAAAAGCTAGTGTAGATGCTAATAGTTACAGTAGAAGACCAATGCCAATGCCAGCAGCTCAACCAGAAGAGTCATTTTCCTCAAGAGCTCAACTCCAGCAATCAGATAAGTTGATGTACACCGGGGAAAGCATTTTCTTTGGTGGGCCAAGTATTCCTGGAAAAGATGCTGCTAAAACTGATAATAATTCAATATTCAGGCGGGGTCAGGAGCGGTTGTTCCCAAATACATCCCGGGAATCAAGATTTAAAAGGGATACTGCATCAAACCAGCTTCCTGTTTTTGTTCCAGGGGGATTTGCACAGAATCCTCAGTCGTCTTCTGGTGTGAGATAATTGTTCGTCTTGATATTCATACATGGCAGTATTTTCAGGTGGCCTAATTTTTTGACCCAGCTAAAGCATTTGAGATCAGAATTGAGATTCTAGTGAAGCTTTTATGCGGCCACACCATGCTCAAATCTGGAAAGTGGAGCTGCGCTACTCGCAAATGTTCTTTTCCTGCTGCCAAGTTACAAACGCGATATACTCCAACATGGACATTACTAATTCATCACATGATCTCAGGTGTGGGCTTCTCTTGGCAGCTTCAATACTGGGTTCCTTTCTCACACGGTCAAGGATCACTTTTATCTCTTAAGGTCTCTCTATTACTTTCTCCATCCTCTAGCTCGTTATGGTCTCGTTCGTTATGGTTGGTATTATCATATTGAATTATGTTTCTCGGTGGTGGAAGCTCCCAGAATACCGCCATGCCAATCTTGTGTTGATATATGTGTAGATGATTTCCTTAAAATTCATTCAAAACTTCAAAGGTGTTAATATTTAAAATTTTGTATCATCAATGAATGAGTTGTCTTTGCAATGAAGTGCGACTGTTAACTGTATCTCCTTGCAAATTTGGATGTACAATTAGGGGTGGCAAAAACTGACCCGACCCGAAAACCCGACCCGAACCCGACCCGAAAATAGCGGGTTAGGGTTGAGAATTTCGACACGAAAACTTAAATGGGTTGACACGAACCCGACCCGAAATTAAATGGGTTAGGTTAAGGTTGAAAATTTCAACCCGAAAATGACCCACATAACCCGAAAATAATTTTCGGGTCAAAATCAGGTCGGGTCAACCCGAACCCGACCTTATAACCCGAATAAAAAAGTCTTAAAAAAAAAATCATTTTAATGGCTAATGGCCCAAGCCCAATTTAAAGTTCTAAACCTAAAAAAACCCTAAATGTGACTAACCCTCACCAACCGTTTTTGTCTCCTATTTTCTCATTTTGCCCTCTCTTTCTCTCTCTCTCTCTCTCTCTCTCTCTCTCTCTCTCTCTCTCTCTCTCTCTCTCTCTCTCTCTCTCTCTAAACTTCTCTGGTTCTCATTTTCTCAACAATCTCAAGTTCTCAGACACTCCACACTCACTCTTTCCTTCTAGTTCTTTCTCACTCTTTCGTTCTCAACTTTTCCCTCTTCTCACTCGTTCTCACTCCTCAACGCCTGAAAGGTAATGGTTATTAATTGTTTTTTATTTCGTTTCGTTTTTGTTTTGAATTTCAAGTTCTGATTCTGAATTTTCCATTCTTGTTTTTTTTTTTTCAAATCTTCATCTCCTTCAAGCCGTCAAACTCAAACTCTCAAAGGTAATTCTTTTTTAATTTTTGTTGTTTTTGTTTCGATTTTTGTTGTTTTCGTTTCTGTTTTGTTGTTTTCGTTTCGGTTTTTTTCTTGATTTTTGATGTTTTTTTTTCGTTTCAATTTTTTTGTTTTCGTTTCGAGTTTGGTTGTTTTCGTTTTGGTTTTGTTGTTTTCGTTAGTTTTGTTCTTGATTTTTGTTGTTTTTGTTTCCGTTCCATTTTTGGTTGTTTTCGTTTCGAGTTTGGTTGTTTTCATTTCATTTTGGTTGTTTTCGTTTGGTTTGTTCTTGATTTTTGGTTTTTTTGTTTCTGTTTCAATACAGATTTGTATTTGATTATTGTTGTTGTTCTTGCATGATAATAGTATTAAGTTTATATAACGTATGATGGGTTGCTTTGTAAATTTCTAGCACAATAATCCAATTCCTGATCTAATTTACAGCAAGAATATATCTTTGACATGCATGTGATTTTTTTTTTTTTTAATTTTAGGTCTGATTTAGATTATATCTCTAGCTTGTTGTTGTTGACTTGTTGTTTATTTTATATTGTTGTTCTTGTCCAAATAATTTCTGATTTTTTGCGGTAATTATGGATGTTGATGTTTAGATTATATCTCTAGAAAGAATAGATCAGTTTTTGTCTCTTGTTTTAAAATAAATGTTTTATTTTGTTATAATTTTTGCAGTAATTATGGATGCCGATGTTCATCAACTTTCTTCCGAGGAAGAGGAGATTGACTTGACAACACAAGACAAAGGAAATGGTAAAAACCAGAAAACTTCTTCTGGTAAACCTCGTGTGATTCTTACTGGTAAGAAACGTCAACGTCGGCTTTCTTCTGGTGTTTGGGTGAATTTTGATTTTTTAGACGAGCCTGATGAAAATGGTAATCTAATTTGCAAATGTGAAAAGTGTGGTATACATTTTAATGCTGATAGTAAGAATGGAACTGGGAATCTTCATCGTCATTTGAAAAATTGTAAACAAAGGTCTTTTAGGGATGTTGGTCAAATGATATTAGAGAAAACATCCTCTGGTTTAGGAAATAGATTGCGTGAATTTGATGCTAATCATTTCCGTGAATTATTATCTCTTGCTATTGTGGAGCATGATATGCCATTTCAGTTTGTAGAGTTCAAGGGTTTTAGGAGATGTTTTAATTATTTGCATCCTGATTTCAAACCTGTCACTAGAAATACTATCAAATCTGATGTACTTAAGATGTATAAAAGATGGAAAGAAAAATTAAAAGCTGTTTTGGGCTCAACTTGTAGTAGAATTGCATTGACTTCTGATTGTTGGACTTCTATAACCACTGATGGTTATATTTCATTGACAGCTCATTATGTTGACAAGTCTTGGTGTTTGCAAAAAAAGATTTTGAACTTTTCTTACATTGGTCCTCCCCATACAGGAATTCATTTATGTGATCATGTGTATGGTTTGTTAAAAGAATGGGGTATTCAAAAAAATATTTTTTCAATTACATTAGATAATGCTTCTTCAAATGATGTTTTTGCTGAAAATCTAAAAGGGGAACTTGAGTTGATTTGTGGTGGGGAATTTTTTCATGTAAGGTGTTGTGCTCACATTCTTAATTTAATTGTTCAAGATGGTTTAAAAGAAATTGATGAGGCTGTGTATAAGATTAGAGAGAGTGCCAAATATTGTAAGAGTTCACAAGCTAGGAAACAAAGGTTTTTAAGTTGTGTATCACATGTTGAAATTCAATCTACTAGAATTTTACAACAAGATATTCCTACTAGATGGAATTCAACTTACATGATGCTTGATTGTGCTTTGTATTTTAAAAAAGCTTTAATTCACTTTCAAAAATTTGATGCCAATTATGTACATTGTCCTTCTGTTGAAGAATGGGGTAGAGTTGAAAAAATATGTAAGTTTTTGAAAGTTTTTCATGATGTCACACTTGCCTTTTCTGGGACCAAATATCCAACTTCCAATCTCTACTTTCATAGAGTCTTACAAGTTAGGTTGTTGTTACAAAATGAAATGAAAAGTTCAGATCTTTTTATGCAAAAAATGGCTTGTAAAATGTATGAGAAATTTGGAAAGTATTGGTCAGAATTTAGTACATTTATGGCTGTTGCTGTGGTGTTGGATCCACGATATAAGTTGCAATGTGTCAATTGGGGTTACATGAGGATATATGGTCAGCATAGTGTTGAATACGAGCTTGAGTTTTCTAAGGTTAAGGATGCTTTACGGAGGTTGTACGAGGCTTATGCATCCAGTCATTCTTCATCAAGCAATGTTATTCCCACTGCTAATGCTTCCAATGCTAATGAAGCTTCCGATGATTTTATGATGGTAAACAACTTTCTGAGTTTCTGTCTTTCTGATGCATTTACCTTTATTGCAAGTGAAAACATATCCTGATTTAATAATCTGATTTTTTATAATTTGATTTTATTATAATCTGATTTTATTATATCTGATTTATTATATTATAATCTGTGATTTATTGTATTATAATCTGATTTTTATTTTCTGATTTTTTGTGTCATGGCGTCATGCTACTCATATAATTTGATTTATTGTATTATAATCTGATTTATTGTATTATAATCTGATTTTCTTATAATCTGATTTATTATATTATAATCTGATTTTATTGTATGATAATCTGATTTTTATTTTTTGATTTTTTGTGACATGCTACTCATGTAATCTAATCTTGGTATATAGGATTTTGATAGTTTTTCTATGGAGTAATCAAATGTGGCAATCAAATCTGAAGTTGATATGTATTATGAGGAGCCACTTATCCCCCGAGGCACCAACCTTGATATTTTGTCTTATTGGAGAACTTGCTCGGTCCGGTATCCTATATTAGCTAAAATTGCTAGGGATGTTCTTGCTGTCCCCGTATCAACTGTGGCCTCCGAATCAGCTTTTAGTACTGGAAGTCGAGTGCTTGATTGTTATAGAAGTGCTTTAAAATCAGAAACAGTGGAGGCTATAATTTGCTTAAGGGATTGGGATTTTGGGGAAGGTAAAAAATGAGTTAGAACTATTATATTACTTGTAAATTATCTTTTATTTTTAGTACATGTGTTGATTTTAATTTGCTATCTTTTCTTGTAGATAATATGGATCCTCAAATGGCAATGCTATGTGGATCCGTTATGAAGCTTAAGGTGGGGGACAACGATGACGCACCACAAACCTCGCCGGAACTATCAGAATTTGATGAGAATGCTTCTTCGAATATTGTTTGAGTCACAAGGACTAAAGTTTATTAAAAGACATTTTTTTCTTTTTAATTATGGTTTGTAATTTGTTAAGACTATTTTGGTGTGTTAGTGACTTAGTGTGTAATAGTTAATTAGGCATTTTAGACTATTGAAAACATTGGGTAAAAAATTCAGGTTTTGTTAACTGTTTGAAAACACAAAATTTGGCTAAAAATCAGTTTATTCAGCTAAAAAAAAAATTAAAACAATTAACAAAAGTCAGGTCAAATCAGGTTGTTTTCGGGTTGACCTGAACCCGAAAATATCAGGTTCGGGTTGGGATTTTCAACCCAAAAACTTAAATGGATCAGGTTCAAGTTGGGGATTCCCTGACCCGAAACACGAAAACCCGAACACGAACCCGACCTGACCTGATCTGTTTGCCACCCCTATGTACAATGCTGCTGCAGTAGTATGGGTCTATGCAAAGATTATGGATTATTATTTAACAGAAAAAGGTGAAGGTGTTGCGAGGATTTGTGCCGTATAATCTTATATAGGTCTGATTATCTTTTACCGGGGGTTGTTATTGGTTGTGAAGATGATTATATTATCTTAGATTGAAATAATTATCTTTCAATTAACTTATTTTTTGTTTTATTTATTAAGTTGCACAACAATAATCTCACCGGCTCACTGTTTTGGACAAACATGTCGGTATTGATGCCTTAGCGACACACTTTTACTTGGATGATTTAGGTCGTATTAGGTGCTAGACTTTTTGGCAGCGGGGGGAGGGGTAAAATATCAATCCCAAAGTAGAATTGATCATACAACCTTATGATTGTGAGATGCAAAACTTTTTACTAAATCACGCGTTACTTTTTTTTTTTTTTTTTTGTTAAGGGTAATGCTATATGCAGCCCTTAGGGCTGCGAGCTGCATATAAGCAATTAATATCCTTCCTTTTTAAGTATTAAGTTGGGAATTTATAGACAATTTACGAGTAAATTGGTGTAATAAATGTTTATTTATTGTCAATTC